TTTGGGATTTAATTTTATACGCCACCATAGCTGGCTGGGGGATTCTGGGAGTTGAAGTCCACAAGTATTAAAGTTGCCAAGGCTGGATACCCTTGCTATAGGCCTGTGATGGTGAACCTATGGCAGGCGTGCCACAGGTGGTATGCAGAGCCCTCTCTGTGGGCACGTGCGCCATTGCCATCTGCTCTTCAAGGTTCCGGCATGCACAAAGGCCAGCTGGCTGGCGTGCATGCGCATGGCAGAAACCCGAAGACCAGGTGGGCAGTGCACATATGCACGCTCAACACCATGTCTTCGGGTTTCTGCCATGCGCATGCACGCCAGCCAGCTGGCCTTTGTGCATGCCGGAACCTTGAAGAGCAGATGGCGATGGCGCACGTGCCCACAGAGAGGGCTCTGCATGCCACCTGCGGCACGCCTGCCATAGGTTCGCCATCACGGGCCTATAGCAAGGGTATCCAGCCTTGGCAACTTTAATACTTGTGGACTTCAACTCCCAGAATTCCCCAGCCAGCTATGGTGGCGTATAAAATTAAATCCCAAAGTTACCTGGGAGCATCTCCCCAGTCCTAGTTTAACGTCACCACATCATGCTGGCATTTTTCCTGATCATCTATTCAGTAGATATGCTATGTATTTTTAATGTAGCCCCTCCCCCCAAAAATTAAAAGCAAATTTAATAACTTGGTAACGTTACTAACTTCGTATGGAGTAAGCTAGCAACATGATAACATAATTTAAGGATTTTGCAATTTTTTCCCCCCGTACCATGCCAAGGTAATAATTGCATACATAAAAACTGCCTATTTATGTAGACAAAACTAGATTATGCGTTTTGATTCTTATGAGAGGAAAGTAATAACAGCTGATTTTTTAAAAATTATATGTCCTACGTCAGAGCCCTTGGCCTTCAGGATGTCACCTAACAGCTTGTCACCCTTAGTTATTCTTGCTGAAAGTGTTGGATGTTGCAAATTAGCAACACTTCAAAGTCCTCAAGTTCTTTAATGTTGTGCCAAGTAGTTAGATACTAAGGAGAGAATAATAGCCCTGATTATAAAAATAAGAATACGACTCTTACAATATTTGTAGCTCAGGTTGAAAAGTGGGGTCCTTGAGCTTGGTTCTTTCTTGCAGACATTTCATTACCCAACTAGATAATAACATCAGTGCTCACTGATAACATTACCTAGTTGGGTAATAAAACCTCTGCAAGAAAACAAGCAAGCTCAGAGAGGCCCCACAATAGGATTGCCCTTTATAGTCTAGCTGTTACAGTATGGACAGAAAACATTCCCTCACATTTCTCATGTTTTCTCTTTAGGATTTACCAGATACAATTCATATCGGAGGGAGGATCTCACCAAAAACGGTGTGGGATTATATTGGCAAACTTAAATCCTCCGTATCAAAGGTAATCAAGTGTGGCAGTACTGTAATCCATTTGAAATGATGATGATGAGGCTGATGATATAATAACGACTGGGGTCAAATACATCTTCGCAGTGATTCTGTTGCCCAAGGCTGGAGTTAACCCTCAGTCTGAATTACTGGCACAAGCAATTGCTAATGTGTTCCACTCTAAATATTTTGAATAGCAGGAACTTTTAAAAGAATTGTGCCACGCAGCTGCTGTCAGCCATGTTTTCTAAAGTAAGCTTTATTGGTGAGCCTTGTAAATAAGTATTATATGATTGTGGGTATTTTTAAAAGATAACCAACAGATTATTATTGCTTTTTATCTTTGATTTAAGATTAGTCGTCCCAGTAAGAATTTTTTGCTGGCCTGTTAACAGGGCTTTTATTTAAATATACCCCCAAATATTAACTTAAAAAACATTACATATCAGAATGAAGTATCAAATTCAATCAGAATTTGAATTAGTAATAATACTTTTTCACTACCTTGAGTTTAATAAATTAGTGGGGACTTTTTTTTCCCCAGAAAGGTTAGTTAAGACAACTTTTTAAAAACTTTACAGCGCCTTTGAGTTTGCCACCAATATTCTGGACGAATTCTAACGTGTGTATTCCTTAGTGTATGTTGCTTTTACTTGTTCTTTCCCCCGCAAGAGTCAGTATTTTTCCTTTATATTTTTATATTCCAGGAATTGTGTTTAATCCGTTTCCACCCAGCAACAGAAGAGGAGGAAGCTGCCTACATCTCTCTCTACTCCTATTTTAGCAGCCGGTGCCGATTTGGAGTTGTAGCTAATAACAACAGACATGTCAAGGACCTGTATTTGATTCCCCTCAGGGCTAAGGATCCCATTCCATCCAAACTTTTGCCTTTTGAGGGACCAGGTAAGCAATAAACAATAGGAAACACAACATACCTTCCATTCCCAACTTACAGCTACAAGTATTACACCAGGCATAGCACACTCCATTCATTTATTTAGCATATTCACCCATCTCGCAAAAATATAACTCTAGGTGGCGTACAAACATAACAACTGTTAAAAGTATGTAACAACATAATTTTTCTGTGTGTGTGTGTCTACAACTTGTTCCCTAAGGTACAAGATTTTTCTTTCACTTTAAAATGGTTGTAGACATATTAGGCAAGTTTTACAACATTAATACACAACATAACATGCTTCAGCTTTGAATGGCATCTTCCTAGCAGTTTATACGATGAAATTCAAGTTGGAGAGTAGAATCTGCTTGCTCGTTGTTGAACGGCATTTTATATAAACAGGTATGTTCTGAGTAGACTTGATTTCTCAAGTCCCAAATCTTATAAGATCTCTAGATTTGGGTTTCCAAGGGAAGTAAAGGAAGAGGAAAATCCAAAGTTTTAAAATTGCAAATGAGATATAACACAAAGTGCCTAAATTTGCCCTGTGACATCACCTCAGTCAAGCCTTTGATACATGGGATGGAATATTCTAATTAAAAACATCAGAATCAGAGCTCATTCCTTAGTTTTGAAGGTAGATTTTTTTTTGGCCTAATAATAGACTTAATGGAAGAAGTATTTAATGTTATTTAAGTATACAGGAGAAAAATCTTATGTGGTTGCTAACAGACGACACACTATGATGATGGCACATCTCCATCATCGTCGTACATTCTTATATACTTACAGAAATAAAAAAATTAAATATCTATACTCCTACATTTCTGATCTCTGAGAGATCACACAGATTTCTGCCCACACTTCTGAAGAGTGAAGGTCTGTATGCTACATGTATAAAGCAAGATAACTAAATATTTGCTCCAGTAAATCTGAAATTCTCTGGATCCAGAAGTGCAGGCAGACGAGAACTGAAGAAAACAAGAAATGTTCTCATTTTACCAAAGTCATACTCTCACTTTGGATCTTCGAACCCCTTTCCACAGTCTTTTTTTATCACTGAAAATCTCTGTGTAATCATAGTGCAGTGCTAAACCCGAATATCACATGTGATTTTTGAGCATAAATTCACAATCTTTTTACCAATAATCTATAATTTTGGCAAGGAGGTTTTTTTCCCAGCAGCTACTGGATAAATGAAAGTGAGAGAGACATATTGGTTCCATGAATCACTGGCAGGGAGCACTCCAATTGCAGCTTTCAATATTAAAATTCTGCTCCCCTGGTCATGGTAGTATAATCAGACCTTTTGGGCAAATCTTGAGGCTGAAAAGAATTGGGAATATTCCTTAAACATTGCAAAATGCTCTGTATTCCTGAGGAAAGATCCACAGTGATCAACATCTTGATGAACCCCACATATTCTTCTGAAGATTGCACACATCCTTGGAAAACTAATTCCCCAAAGAACCATTCTAAATCGGATAATTTAGTGGCCAAAACAGTCGGGTCTAAAAATAGTCTCTGCAATAGATTGCCTTGCTATAAATATTTCACTTAAATTCTGGCGAAAAGGAAGCTGTGATGCATTCTCTAATGGGTCTCTGGCAACTTGAAAGTCAGGAAAGGCAGGGCTGAAATCACCTCTAAATAATCATTATTCTTGCGCCATCAAATGTACATAAGAAGTTGAAATATCTGTACCATGTCATCTTGGACATAGCAATTTGGAAGAGCTGTGGAGAAATGATTCCATATCCAACGAGTAGAAGAATCCAACAGGTAAAGAGAGAATTTTACTTAGCACCAGTTGTTGGATCTGTACCACAGGAGCAGATCCCAGCATTGGGATGATTACAACATTGGGATGGTGCATTGTGCAACTGTCAACGTTTCTCAGGAATTTATTATGTTTTTGCCTTATATAATCAAACGTTACATTTTTTCGCGCATTAAAAAAATCACTTTGTTCTCAACAGTTTTTTTAAAATGCTGATTTGCCTTGCCATCCTAGAATATACAAACTTCTATGGATGGTTCAATCAGTACATATTTCAATGTACTTTTGAGAATGGAATGATAGTACTCTTTAGAATACATTCTCAACTTCTATGCAAGTACACTGGCAATCAAAACATCACACTGGTAGCTGCCATTTTAGTTAAGAGACGGGAATTATAAAACAGGCAAGGACCAGAAAATTCTCAAAACACACTTTCTCAAAAGGAAACACTGAACAGTATTTGTGTACTAGTAATTTTGATGAAGATTATGATTAGCGAGAGTGTTTTCACACAAGGAATTGTCTTAGTTCTTTGTAGTATGGATGAATGTGTGGAAAGATGTAAAATCATAAATGTTCTTCCCTGGTCCAAAAGATGAACTACTGCTTTCATTATATAATCTCAATAAAAGTATTTTATACAAAGTGGTAATTGTCTCTTTCAATTGAATGCTTTGTACGATAAATGATACCTCTTTTTGAAATAAAATACCAGTTGTACATAGCTAGCAATATGTAATAGCATTATTTTACAAGTACATTCTAGGAATATTCTACATCAATAGTCTCTACCTCAGAGTTCAAACTGTTGTTTTACTTGAATTCCAGAGTAAAAAAAAAAGCTAGAATCAAATCTCAGTTATTTCAGGGTAGAAACTACAAAAACTAAAATTTAAAGTAGGCCTATCGTGTTCAATGTATTTACGACGTTTGCAGAGTCCTGGAATCATGTGATCACCATTTGCGACCTTTCCAGCCATTTTTCAACAAGCAAAGTCCATGGTGGAAATTTGAATTTGCTGAACATGATTCATTCATCAACTGCAGTGATTAGCTTAACACCCATGCCCCCCCCCCCAAAGGTCATAAAATCAGGCATGACTCAAATAACAACTGTATTGTTTAGCAATGGAAATTCTGGCCCCAATTGTGGTCGTACGTCAAGGACTACCTGTCTCGGCAGGGCAGGGGAAGTAAAATAACTTCTCTATGCAAATTAGAGTTGTCCACCAGCCACCCATGCTCTCAAAGTGTGTTCTTGCAAGGCTTCTACTTACTACAGCTATGCCAGCACTTACAGCATTTAAATTACAAAGAATGTATAACAGAATGGCCTTGCACTATCTCTACCACAGGTTATCATCGCCTTCCAACAATAGCAATCTTTATCATTGTCCAGAAACTTAGCGTGCTTTCATATCCACCAATAAATTACCAGATTCCTACAAAAAAAACAACCACCAATACACTTCTCAAGAGTAGCAACTTCCCAGCAGTAAAGTTTAGGATTAGCTTTAAGAAGGAAAGCTTCCAGGTGGCACAGTGGCATCAGCAGTGTCTGAAGTTGCTGACCCGTAGGAGCATGTAACAATGGAGTTGTATTTCATGCTGATTGACAGCTTTTCTATAGCCGGGGATTTTTTCCTTTCATGCTAATCATTCCCTCAAAAACATGAAATGTGTTGTTTGTATCCCAGTTCAGACTTGTTTGATAGTCGGAGGGCAGCCATCTTGAGGGATGAGCAAACCAAAATTCGTGTCAATGTGAATGCCAGCTAGGAATAAAGGATAAGATTAGGGTTAAAAAGAGGCGAAAGGAGAAGCATCACAATCCTTCAGGAGTTTCCATTTGACCAGTACTAAATGAGGACCATCTCTTGGAAAGCTTGCAGAAGTGATCATCTAGACAAAAATATAGTTTCTCTGTCTTCTCACCTGAACAGGAAATAAACAGTATAACCCAGCTTCTTTTCACAAGCATCAGGAAATTGCTGGAAAAATTCAGAATTCCCTCAATGAGGGTAAGCTAACTTGGTCCAGAGCCAGAAAAACATGCCCAAACCATGATACTGCCACCAACATGCTTTCCAGTTGAGATAAGTTTCTTCTCCTGGAATACGTGTTCCAGGCCTTTCGAAAACACATCACACTTCTCATTCAAGTCAAAAAGTTCTAACTTGGCCCCATCCATTCACAGAATGTTCTTCTAATACCATACTCTTCCGGTTCGTCCACGTGATATTTTACAAACTGTAGAGAGCAGCAGAGCTGTTTTGGAGCGTAGCGGCTTTCTCCTTGCAACCCTGTCGGGCTGGCCACCACGATGTCCTCAAGAACATTGACATTCTCCAGTGCAAGAGGCCTTTGGTTAGATGTTACCCTGGGATTCCTTCTCCTGCTGGAGTATCACATGCCTTGCTCTTTGTGTGATTCTGGTTGGCATAACACTCCTAGGAGATTAGCAGTGGGGTTGAATTGTCTGTTTTTGAACATGATGTGCCCAACAGTAGACTGGTGGACTCCAAATTCTTTGGAACCTCTTCTAGTCCAACACCCAAAAACTGCTTTTTTGGAAATCCTGGGAAATTTTCTCGTTCCTGGAATGACATATTTCCACATAACCCGTGTTGCGAAGCTGTGACAGTGATTTCCCAAAATTCTGTTCTTTAAATAAGGCAGGACGTTCCACACTCACACCTGGGGTGTCATCCCATTGACTGAAACCCCTAACTCTTAATTTCACTTTCAAATGAACCAATAATCCTAGAGGCTCATATACTCTGGCTACCCAATGCTTTTGACCCATTTGCTTAATTGGGGTATTTTTAAAATCTAGTTTCTGCACGTATGAAGAATAGATCAGCTGCTAGGTCAGACTGATGCAGAAATATTGAAAATTCAAAGGGGTTCACACATTTAAATTTCTGCAAATTTCAGTTTTACAAGTGATGTGAACCGTGATGAAAAATATATAAATACGATGTCTGCATACTGATTGATCAGTTTCAGTTTGATAGTTTAGCTCAACTATAATAGGCCAAGGAATATGTTCACTGTAATTATTGAATTTGGAAAGCTGAATCAAAAATAATCTCAAATGTAAAACATACTATGTTACAATACAGATAGCATGTTTAAAACAGAACCTCACGCTTATGGAATACAAACATAATGAATTGTTATATATATTTTCATGACCATGATTTTCAACAATTTATGATACTTTACAGACCATCATCTGGTTATCATTTTGTAACTGAATATGTGAAAATAATAATTAACAGTTTTAATGCATAAATATAGTTAGCATGAATGGAGATAATACATCATTGTCATGGTGCATTTGTTAATATTTTAGCATGATATATGCCGCAACTTACTTTCCTAATTGATTAAATCATGTAATAAATATCAACATACTTCATTACTGATTGTTTTAGTAGTAAACTTTTGACTATGTTCAAAAAATTAAATAGCAAATATACCAATGACTTATAGTTAATAAAAGTACTTGACAGGATTAGTAACACTCCCTACCCTTAAAACATGAAATGATTTTTTAAATGGCTCTTTCAATTCTAAAATTCTTGTTTCTCCCATTTCTCCTTAGGTCTTGAATCAAACCGTCCAAATTTAATTCTTGGATTAGTGATTTGTCAAAAAACGAAGCGTCCTGCAACTGTATTGGAGCCGGAAAAGCCTGAGGAGAAGAGGAGCCGAGTCCAGATACAAGAAGAAACAGAAGTATTAGGATACTCTAAGGGCAGCACGCTTCCCCCGCCAGAAAAGAAAACTGCAAAATTTTCTTTGTATTCTGGAGAAACCACAATCAGTACAACACCTCCTGATTCTCCTCCACCTCCACCTCCAAATCCACCTTCAGAACCATCTTCAACCATGGCACCTTCTGTATTAAAAATACTGTCATCCGTTAAAGCAGGGAGCTCATCCACCGTGGCACCATCGAATGCTTCAGGAGCTACCACTACTCCTGTGTCTTCTGCCAGTTCCTCAGCCTCAAAATCATCCACACCACTTGATCACATTTTGCAAACCCTTTTTGGGAAAAAGAAGTCTTTTGATCCTGCCGCCAATGAGCCTGAAGCTACTCCTCATACCTCGAAGCCCGAAGCACAGGTGGGGAGTGACGAAGGGCCACTTGCTGCTCCTTTAATAGACCCTATTGTGCAACAGTTTGGACAGATGTCGAAAGACAAAGCTATCGAGGAAGAGGAAGACGACAGACCTTATGATCCCGAGGAAGAATATGCTCCAGAGAGAGCTTTTGAAATGCAGGCTGGCGAAAGCAGACTTGAGAAGGGCTGTGAAACTTTGGAACGAGAGGATGAAGCCTACGATCCAGAAGACGAAACCATCTTAGAAGAAGCAAAAGTTGCCGTGGAAGATTTGCCTAATAAAATGTACTTGGACTCTAAAAACAGCTCCATAACCACATCTGCTCCCTTCGTTCCTGATGCGGCTCCTGCGCCGTCCTTGGTAGAGCAACAGAAAATGCTCGAGGAGCTAAATAAACAAATAGAAGAGCAGAAAAGGCAGCTCGAAGAACAAGAGGAAGCGCTCAGGCAACAAAGGGCAGCTGTTGGTGTCTCCATGGCTCATTTTTCGGTATCTGACGCTTTAATGTCCCCGCCTCCCAAACCATCCATAGCAAAAACTGAATTATTCCAACACGAAAAACCCATTTCTGAAAAATCTGAAATGCCTCCTTCCTCCATTCAGCCGCAACTCTTGGGCCAAGGAAATGATCCCAGACAAAGCAGAGATCCCCGACAAGCTAGGAGAATCCTAACGGAATGTAATGAAAGTGTCGACTTTAATATAAAGCAGCATGGGATACAGGGAGAACCCTCTGCTGGACAGATCCCTCCACCCAGCTATTCAGGTCCACTCCAGGCGGCGTTTGACAAAGAGGAGAAATGTCACAATGAAACATGGATGGCAAGTGAAACGGGTCCTCCTGCTGTCCCTGAGCAAAATGTGCCTCTCAGTTATGAAAACATTCCGCAAATTCACCCGGAAATTATAAATAAACCAGCTCCCATTGAATCGCCTACGAGTGCGCCTATTCGTAAAGTATTGCTGCCTACCCCTCCCACGCCATGTTTCATGCCCGTTTTCTCAGGCTCTAATAATGCACAGACTGTAACTTGGTCAAATGCCTCTCAGGACAACAGCGTCCCAGGGATCGTAAGAGATTCTTTTCCAAGTTCAACATTTGTATCTCAGGAGAAAATTCCTGGTCACTTTGAAGCAGAAAGAGGTCCGTTGAATTATAACGAAGGCGAAGTCCGTCCTCAATCCAGCCATTTTTACGAACAGAGGGAGTCTTCTACAATTCAGACTGAAGAAGTAAGAGGAGTCCCTCCTTTTCCCCCAGCTGGGCAAAAAGTTGCCCCTCCGGTACTGTGTAATGCTTCTGATTTCCACGGGCAAAGGGGTCCCCCCCAGCCATATAACGAAGGACATAACGTTCCACCAAACAATGATGGACAAAGAGGTCCACCACCAAGCAGATTTTCAGCGCCAAGAGCACCTATTCCTTCATTATTTTCTGCACCACATGGTCCACCTGTTTTTGTTGAAAATAAGGGCCCTTCTCCATCATTTCCTGGTGGGCCAAGAGAAAAAGCACCCTCTCAATTTGAAGATCACAGAGAATCTCAAGCAGAACAGAGAGAATTTTCAGATTCTCAGTATCATGAGGTGAGCGGTCCATCTGGCCAGTTTGAAGGATCTGAGCCTCTGCAGTTTGTAGGAAATCGAGGGCCACCTCCATTTTCTTACGGAGGCCAAAGGAGGCCTCCGCCCAATCAATTTAAAAATCAAAGAGGGGGCCCATCAACTCAGTTTGGAGGACCAAGAGGTCCATCACCTAATCATTTTGGAGGTACAAGAGGTCCTCCTCCAAATCAGTTTGAAGGACAAAGAGGACCGGCACCAGGTCATATGCCAGGACCAAGGGGACTTCTGCCCTCACCATTTGAAGAGAGGAGAGGAAGCCCACCCCCCAGATTTCCAAACCAGAGGGGCTCAGCATCACATCAGTTTGGAGGACCAAGGGGACAGGCACCTGCCTCGTTTTCAGAACAAAATGACTCTGCCCCTAACAGACATAATTTCCCAGGACAGTCTCAACAAGGCATGAAACCATCCCCCAGACCTCTTTTGGATCTTCCAAGCCATCCTCCACAACACAGGAAAGAGATATGGGATGAATCTGGCCCATCTTCTTCTCATCCTAATATTTCAGGGCAGGCTTCTTCATCAGACGCACAGTGGCCAGCGTCTGATTTTCGAGAGGGTCGAAATAATGACTACAGAGGCCAGGGCTTTGACAGGGGGCCGAGGGAAAGATTTGAGGGAGGCAATAAGGAAAAAGTGTTAGAGCAGCCAGAGAAATCAGACAATAGATCCAACAGAGGAAATGATGATAGACGGAGGGATCGCGAGCATAATTGGGCTTGGGAAAGGGATCGCGGCAGAAATTGGAATAGGGGTAGGGAAAGAGATTGGGAGAGACACAAAGAGAAAGACTGGGATAAAAACAGAGATAGAAACTACAATAAAGACAGGGAAAGGGAGTCAGACCGGGTCAAAGATTGGGAAAGGAACCGGGAAAGACCTAGGATGAGAGAATGTGATTCTTATCGAAGACGGAACCGGTCCAGAAGCAGAGAACGTGACTACGATAGATTCAGGGACAGGGCCCGCAGCCGGGAGAGAGAGAGGGACCGAGATAGGGACCGTGACAAAGATAGAGGAAGGGACCGCAAGGAGCGGAGCAAAAGTACAGAATGTGATAGAGACTCTAAGCCAGAATCCCAGATGGGCACCCAAAAGCCATCACATCCAGAAGCTGCTTCTGCTAAGTAGACTCTTCAGCAAGGAATCCCTTAGAAGTAAAGGGGGAAACATGTAAGAATTGACTGTGTACTACTTGTATATATTGTATATTCTGTTAGAAAATACTTTGGTAAAAGCTTTCGTAAAAGACTAATTTTGAATTGTAAATGCAATATGTTAAGGTAGGAAGCTGGGGAAACCTGGACTCAATACATTTTGTTCATAAAAGTTTTCTTACAGAGTACACAAGACACAGGCCTTCCCTGACCGGTCCCAGCAGCTGTGTACAGATAAGAAATCAGTAGGGCTTAGGACCACTGCTCTTGTCTTTTTAGAGTAGGGGCCTGTAGGAATCCTACTTACTCCCAGAGAAAGATCTTAGTTGGGACCTAACAGTTCTATGACATGGCTTTGTTTTCCTTATTATCTTGAATTTCCATTTGCTGAGAAAAAATGGGAACTGTCTTCAAAAAGCACATTGCTTTTAAAGGTTTCAAAGTTGTGTTTTCCAATAACTTAAATTGGTAATTTTATGAGAATTCAAACAAGATTTAAGAAGCCATAACTTTACGTCTCAAATACATGGTGTTTTTGTGTTTTGGGCTCCTATGTAACTGCAAAAATATCAATATTTTTGTCCTGAGTTAATCTGTGGCTTTTGTGTACTTAACAAATGATGGCGGAAGAGCAGTGTTACTACTTACTTATAATTTGAAGAGTATTTGAATAAGAAATGTTAAATTTCTAAACTCACATTTTACATGAGGGCATTTTCAATGTAATTTCAACTGATTTATGATCTCAACAAGAAGTACATATGTCTCGATAGATCACTACCGTTCTTATCAACAAACTCTTAAAAGTTCTGTATTTTTATGAAAGTTGTAATGAAAATTAATGCCCTCTGTACTCATTATAACTAAGCTTTTTTAAAAAAAGGTATTGATTTTTTAACCTAAATTGACTGAACAAAGTTGGAGGAAGGAGAATTATCAAGATTAATATATCAAGCAATGAGTTGAAGGAGTTTGACTTTTCTTATGGTTATCGGTCAAAAAGATTCATGAACTAAAGACAGTTTTACTTGAGCCAAGATGAAGAACTTTTAAGTTCTAACTTAAGTGGGAGAGATTTCAGGATGCTGATAATTATCCTATTGACACCAACAGCAATTAAATTCTTAACTTTGATAGGAATATGTCCTATCCATGTGAATTCATGCCTACTATGATAAAATTGGAAGTAATATTTCTGTAAAGATTGGAGAAATAAAGCCGTTACTAACAATTCTGTACTTTAAAAGGGAAGGCTTTTTACTGTGAAAAACAGTATTCTATTACTTTTTCTGTATTCTTCAAGTTCATATTATAATTCTAAATAGTACATAGAAAAATATTACCTGTTGAATTGGATTTATACATTTACAGATAAACAGTTACTTTGATATTTTTGTAAGCATTTGCAAATGTAAAATTAAATTCGTAACATCTGCATTTTGAAATCTGCAATATAAATAGTACTACCCCATAAATAAATCACCACATAGTTATACTTTATATTGGTACATCTTAGTCTTTAAACATCATGGACATGCTGATATTTTAAAAAAATGCCCTGTTTGCAAAATATTTTGCAAAACATTAAGAGAGGTGGTATAGAATGCAAATACCTATGATGTAATTTTTTATTCAAGAAGTTTCTAACTTAAAACCATACATGTAAGTATACTAAATCAAGTGTTGTTTAGGTTTACTTGACAGAAGTTTCTGTAAATTGTATTTTATATTTCAAAATATATCATTGTACATTAAATGTGGAACTTCATAGATTTTTGTTACTGTAAGTCAAATAAACATCTACAGAAAGCCTTGGCATGAAGAGTTTTATAGGTACCGATCAGAGCATTAATCTAGTAATGTGGCAGTATAATCTGGGAAACATGGCCAGATCTTGCAAAACAGGATACTTCACTCATTTTTTTAAAAAGATACTATTTTTGTTGTTGTTTTCAATTAAGAAATGCTATGAGGGGCTCCATTATGGATCTGTGCATCTTTTCAGTGTTAAGGTAGCATTGCAATCACCTGATCACAACATCCAGGATCCAGTTTTCAATTTTTGAAAAGGATGGCTATACATGAAAGGTACTGCCAGTACCCAGGACTTGGTTGGTGATTCATAGAGTTAAACTTGCAAAACCATTTTCAGATCTGAGAAACAGATTGCCCCTTCCTCTGGGCCAGCAACTAAACTAAACATTCAGGAATATTTCTGATTTTCTCCATTTATTTTTGAGTCATAAGAGTGCATTTGATTTGTATGAAAGAAGAGAGAATATCTTGTCATGATAAGATAAACTGCTTCACAAAGTATACAGAATTTTTCCTGCAAGTGCAGGTGTATTTTTTTCCAGATCAACCACATATTGATACATTGGTTGCACCAAGAATTAGCTGACCAGCTTGTCACCAGACTGGTATTGTGGGCTGAGAGTGCTAGCGGCTAGCCTAAGTCACCCAACCAACCTTTGTGCCTAAGGCAGGACTAGAATTCATAGTTTCCTAGTTTCTAGCTTGGGGCTTTAATCACTAGAGTAAACTCTATTGAAATACAACATCTTAAACTATTTGCTATAACTATTTACTTCAATACTCCAAATACTTTGACCACCTAATGAGAAGGAAGGACTCACTGAAGAAGAGCCTAATGCTGGGAAAGATTGAGAGCAAAAGAAGAGAATGAGGTGGCTGGATGGAGTCACTGAAGCAGTAAGCATGAACTTAAACGAACTGAAAGACAAGAAGGCCTGGAGGAACATTGTCCGTGGGGTCGGTCATGACCTTGCAACTAACAACATCATTTACTTCATTCTTCTGAATAGGTGTCCTGGTTTTCTGTTATTCTAATGTATCATTTTCTTTGCACTGAGATTTGAATTGCTTTTAATCCCACATGTATTAGGGAACTGTATGCTGTTTAGAGTTGGGCAATTGGAGGCAGGGAAGGAAGAAAAGTATATTCAGTTATTACAGCAGTGTAAAAGAAAAACTTTAGCATATATTCCACAGTGATGAAAAGATATGCATGCCACCCGGAGACATTAAAATAACATCCTAAACTGATATTTCCAGGGGGAAAAAATAGAAGGTTCCCAAAATTGGGGTGGATAATTCTGCATCACCTACAGGCCTGAAATTTGACTGAGAACTTGGTCTCTGCTGGCTGCCTCTCTGCAGAAGTTAGTTAATTGGCTTAGGAAAAGAATAGCATCACCACAGGCCCCTTTTTAAATTACTGGTATTAGTTCAATGTGAACAAATGAATGTATATACAGATCTGCACACTCAGATTTTATTTTGGTCTGGTCAGTCTCACAGCCTCCTTTTTCAGTCTAAGATACATGAAGACTAGAAACAAACTGAAAAGTAGAGATGTGTATTTCATGAGGTTGGGTGGCAAGACAGAATAAAAGAACCCATAAAGCAATAACTATTTTTTTGAAATGGCATTTTGGAATATGTGCTCTATTTTCTTCAGCGAATGGGTGGAAGTGAACATCTTTTGCCCTTAACAAACAAGACATGCCGAAACATTTTCCACAATTAAAATTTGGTGTAAAAGATAATGTGGTCTTGGCTGAAAATTTCTAAGCCATCTGCTGGATGTAATGTTGATTCATCCGTTTTGATTCTTCACATGCTTGGAACTGTAAAGGGTACACAACCAACCAATCCTTAGACGATACAATTAATAACCGAGTTGGAATGGATATTGGAGGTCCTCTAGTCCAGCCCCCTGCTCAAGCAGGAGACCTTGTATCATTTTAACAAAGAGTTGGAAGGGACCTTATAGGTTATCTAGTCTAACCCCACCCCCCACTCAAGCAGGAGAGCCTACATCATTTCTGACAAATGGCAGGTCAGTCTCTTCTTGAAATCTCAAGTGATGAAGCCCCCACAACTTCTGAAGGCAAGCTGTTACATTGGTTGATTGTTCTCACTGTCAGAAAGTTCCTCCTTACTTCTAGGGTGAATGTCTCCTTGATCAGTTTGTATCCATTATGCCTTGTCTGGCCTTCAGGTGCTTTGGAAAATAGCTTGACCCCCCCCCCCTCCTCTCTGTGGCAGCCCCTCAAATATTGGAACACTGCTATCATGTTTCCCCTGGTCCTTCTCTTCATTAGCCTAGCCATGCCCAGTTCCTGCAACTGTTCTTCATGTTTTAGTTTCCAGTCCCCTAATCATCCTGGTTGCTCTCCTCTGAAGCTTTTCTAGCGTCTCAACATCTTTTTATAGCCTCCTCTTAAAAGCCTCCAGTGATGGGAGCACCTACGACTTCAGAGGCAAGCAGTTCCACTGAGGTTTGTGGAATTATTCATGATCATTTCTCAGCACCAGTGGTGAAATTCAATTTTTTTTAATTACCAGTGTTGTGGGCGTGGCTTGGTGGGAATGGCAGGGAAAAGATACTGCAAAATCTCCATTCCCACCCTACTC